ACATTCGTTTATGGTATCACTAGGCTGCTGAAGTCGCTCCACACATCTCTAGGCTACTGAAGTCGCTCCACACATCTCTTTCCTTTCGAAGTGCTCCGCATCGGTTTCTGTAGAACCTGTGCGTCATCTCACAGGAAGTGCTTTGGTAACACATCCGGTCTGGCGTTCTGCCGGACACCCAGGGTCGAACCCCCGAGGCTCCGGTATTGCCAAGGCCAAGAGCCTACCATAGCTCGGACGCCCTACCTGATGCAGTCGAGGTCTACACTCGCTGACACACCCAAAACAGTGGATTACCCCACCGGTTTCTGTAGAACCTGTGCATCATCTCACAGGAAGTGCTCTGGTAACACATCCGGTCTGGCATTCTGCCGGACACCCAGGGTCGAACCGTCTAGGCTCCGGTATTGCCAAGAGCCTACCACAGCCTGGACACCCTATACCGGATGCAGTCGAGGTCCACACTCGCTGCCACACCCAAAAGAGAGGATTACCCCACCGGGGATCATCTCAACTGGTAGGCAATCAAATCTCTCTTTTTGGAAGCTTGAACCAAAAGGCAGGATGAACGATAACAAATGGTTCATGTACGCCAAGGCCTGCCAAGCTCGACACATGATGTAGGTAATAGCTAAGTCACAGTACGTCTTGTTGGAACACAGCTGTCGAATACGACGCATTCGACGCGAGCAAGTCAGATCATGGTCACATCAAGACGACTTTTCCCAAAGCGGTGCGAAGAGGTACATCATGGTCACATTAACATGGCCTTTCCTGCGTAGCCGCCGCGACAGCAAGGCTGCATCCACTGGACAAAAACACAGGGCAACCAAGCTTTTCCCCACATTGACGCCCGATTTCAGCAGCTTCCAGGCATGACAAACGTCAGTGGAATCACAACACACCAGCTATTCATCATGTAGACGCTCGGTTCACAAGCCCAGGCACAAGACACTCATCCACAGCCTCAAAGCACGTCCAAACTAGCCTTCCCCCAGAAGTTTGCAAAGCTCCGGGTTTGCCATCCGAACCTAGATACCTCGGCGGCTTGGAGCAGAGTAGAGCAGTTGGCTATGCTTGCATTACAGCAAAACTGCTTTTCCTTTACGATTCTTCACCGAAGCATTAGACCAGGAAGTGAAGCATAAGGCAAGGAGTGGTCGAAGCCGAAAACGCTTTCTATCCGTTCGGCTTGATGACAAACTACCATGTCGGCATTACGTGCCCGATCAGCAACGAAGTCAAGTGAAAGAAACACTAGCACCTACAGTGCTGAGCAGGTATGTGTCCAAACTCAGGAGCTAAGATGGATGTCAGCTCTCATCAAAACAGAGCAATTCGCGTCGCAGCCTTTTTTACACACGCACGCAGACCGGAGAAGCTGCTTGCATGGATCCAATGCCCGAAAAGATTGTAGACGGTGTCACACATGAACTGAATCGATCGAAAAAGCCAAGTTTTAACAGCTGAGAACAATGCGACTAGCACACTCACCGCTCACATGTCCTGTGTAACAAGCGTCTACGCTGGCGCGTGCTGCTTTGTGCGCTTGCCAGCTCTGCGCAGAGAGTCTTGTCGTTCAAGGGTGTGGGGTGTACGACGCTGGGAACCACGACTCGATAGGGCCGCTGGCCGCTTCAGCGTCCGCTGTTGGACCAGACACTTCTGCTCCGCTCGTGCCGTTTGCAAGCTCAGATCGGCTTTGCCGACAAGGCCAGCCTCGACACCGAGCTCTTGACACCAGGCTTTCCACTCGGGCAATGTCCAGAGCACACGGCAAGAACATCTAGAAAGAATCTCGCACTCCGACATTTGCCGTGTGGCTGGACGATATAAAGCCGTGTTGTGTGACAAGAGCTTTGCCAGATGCATAATAGATAACTTCAAACACAGTGTAGCTTTGTGAATTTTTTGCGTCTCACGAAACCAGTTATTGATTTCGTGGTGCAAAGCTTCGTTTGAAGTGGTCCCTATTGGGAGCAAAGACAGTCGGGAAGGCTCGAGGAGGTGCCGCATTCTTAAGTTGTTGAAATACCACTCCGATCTGCCAGCAGCTGCGGCAGAGTGAAGCAGCTGGAACACTTTGCGGCTAGGGCCGGGAGCTACGCGATCTACTTCTGTGCGATAGACAGAAGTGAGAGCCGCTAAGGCTCGAATCCAGTCCGCGCGCAAAAAGAAAGGCACGTCTGGCTCGAGGTTGTCGAGCACAGACTGGGCCTCACGCGGACGCACGCTTCGATCTTCGATCTGTACACGCAACCGTTCCTCCTCTCTTGTAAGAGAGGCACACGTCTGCCCGGTGTATATTGCTCCCCATGTTGTGGGCTTGAGATTGCTGCTGTGGGCGGTCAGCTTTCGTAGAATCTGCCGCAAGGCTTTGGAAAGCCCTGTCCTTCTACGACTAGAAGCATACTCCACAGTCATAGCTAGATGGACAGGATCCAAGGCCATGACTTGTAAATTAGGACAAATCACCTTGACCTCTTGCAAGCACTTGAAGGATGGATTGTCAACTGACATAAACTGAATCTGGCCCAGTGCCTGGGACGGCAGAGCATCTGCAAGGCAGCGTGCAATGGCTGCCGAATCGTCAGACGATACTGCCTGCAGAGCCAGAACTGCGTTGGTGCGGCCTCTGCATGCGAGTACCTCGGTCCATAGGAACTTCTACATTCCAAGATGCTAACACATGCAAAAACTAGATGAAGAACAAAATAAAGCGCGCAGACGAGTTGCTCGTGTCAAGGCATTGTCTCCGGTGAACACGGCCTGCTCCTTGTCCTCTTTCCTTGCCCGAGGATGTGCTTGGCCAAGAACAGGAAGACAGCAGCGCAAAGTAGCATCCAGGCTGATGACCTGGAACTCCTGGTGGCGCATCGTCTCATCCAGAAGTTGCTTCGCCAGATCACAAACTTTGTGAGCCTTGAACACGTCTTCAATCAATGGCCACCAATGGTTTGGGTGACGCGGCAACAAGCTGGCCGAGTCCGCGGGGAAGCGAGCAACTAGTCTGCCGTGCATGGCATACACCTGAAGTCGCACAGCACACGCTTCATGTCTTGCTTAGCAAAACCATGGCGATGCTGCATATAACAATGCTGCTGAGCGGCCTTCGCATTACATAGCAACATCTCTTGGAAGACGATTTGCGCAAAGCCCCGACTATAATACAGATTGCGAACTCGCCGAAGCGTCAGTTGCTTAACAGCACTTGCATTCCAGAACTCGGGTCCTCGTTCGGTGAAGACCAGCCGGATGTAACGATCAATATCCGTGATGTTCGACTGCAGCGGAGGGTTCACCGTCCGACGAAGCATGGCAGCACTGCGGCTCAAGTAGTTGGCTCTGGGGTGGCCCGCGGTTTGGTCGAAATCGTGCAAGGAGATAACCAGTTTGAGTTGCTTCGTGCCGGAAGCAACGAACTGCTTGCGTTCACTGTGGTACTTGCGGACGTGATCGACTAGCCGCGAGACTCTTCCCTTTGGCCATTGTCTGAAAGGGCAGAACGGACAAGCCTGACATCCTTGCTTGGCGATGTGCTCTGCAGGACCTCGAAGGAACGTTGTCACTTCCTTTTTCATGAGAGCCAGAAGTTCGTCACCGACGTGAGTAATACTCTCATCGTCGCCATCTTCTTGTTGTTGCTCGCCGTCGAAGCCATCATCAATTAGGTCTCGCACAAACACGTCGCCCTCCTCTTCGTCAGCTCCTCCCGAGTAATCATTTTCGTTTCCGCCTGCAAGAGTTTCCAGTAGAAGCCTGTACTCTTCGTCTTCTGCGTCGTTGTCAAACTTGTCGGGCTTCTGGTTCACGTAGAACAAGATGATGTACTTGCGATCGGTTGCGTCCGACAACATACTCGAAAGATGCTGCAAAGAAAAAGTGTAGCTGACGGTCACATCCGTCACACAGACTTCCTGTCCAGGAAGGGTTTCCATGGCGACGCAGTGCGGGTTTCCATCTGTGGCGAGATGGAGAAGCACCTTTTGGCCTGACGTTAGATCAGCGGGTGGCACGCGAGGAAAGATTTGGAGCTTCAGCTTCTCGGCGACGTGCGTGTAGCGTCTTTGCTGGCGTCTTCTGAAAAAAACGTGTTCGGGCCCATCTGTCATCGATGCCATGGAAGATGCCTGATCTTGGAAACCAAGATGGTGTAGAGCTGCCAGTATACAGTTTCCAGTCTCACGAAGGACTTCAGGACATTCCACTGGTTTGTCGTTAGTGATCTGCTTCAATAACGCATGGAAGCTGTGTCGCTCCTTCGGACGAATGTGCACTGTGAAGCCGGTGTCCTCTTGGATCGCAGAGGTGCAACTCCTGCAAAAGGCCTGCACATCTGGCTTCACGACGTCATGGTCCACTCTGATGCCATCGAAATGCAATGACATGTGTCGGCTTCCTAAAGGCATGAGCTGCTGGATCCAGGATTCCACCACTAGATCCTCGACGATGTTCCAGAAGTATGTCAAGACCGACACATCCGGCTTCTCCTTCAGTTGCACCAAAGAAGGCCAAGCAGTATCTTTCAACAATGTCGCAGCCACCCAGCGACAAAAAAGAGATGCTCGCTGCAGCTCCTGTATGAAGGCATTGCTCGCGAGTGTGTCGGGCGGCAAACCTCCGTTCAAGACCTTCTGCAAAACAAACTTCCCCTCCGGCAAAGTTAGCTTCAGCTTGTTTTCAATGACATGCTTTCGCTGCGTCGCACAAAGACGCAATGCCTCTTTGACACTCGGCCAGGATTCATGTTGCGGTTCCACTTTCTCCAAGACCTGCAGCAACAACGTGAAGCAGCAGTTCTCGATGTCAAGGTCGATCGTGTCTGCAAGAGCCACGGCCTGCCACGCCGTGCCAAGATTTTGCACAGAGGCGTGCAAAATAATACATAAAGGTCTTTCGTACATAGACATATATGTGTGTATGCGTATAAACGCATATATGCGTATATGTATATATGCAGATAGGTATATGTGTATAGGCTAATATATGTTTGTATGCATATATGTACATATGTATATGCGTATATATGTCGATATGCATATGTATATATGCATACATGCATGCATGTATATATGTGTTTAATATATGTTTATATGTTAGACGTATACATGTATGCATGTTTACATGTACACATGTATATATGTATATGTATATGTATATGTATATATGTACACTTGCTAAGATGTATATATGCATATCTGTACATATGCATTTATGAATATATGCACATATGTACACATGAGTATGTGTATATATGTATGAGTGGAGCGGTGGATGTATGTATGTATGTATGTATGTATGTATGTATGTATGCATGGATGTATGTATGTATGTATGGATGTATGTATGTATGTATGTATGGATGTATGTATGTATGTATGTATGTATGTATGTATGTATGTATGTATGTATGTATGTATTGTATGTGCTGCTTGTATGCTTTCATGTTATAGAACACGACGATTTGGGGGTTTCCGAAAATAGGGGACCCTAATATAGTACCCTAGATAGTAGGATCCTTATTATAAGGATCCCTAAACCCTAAACCCTAAACCCTAAACCCCTTATGTTCGGAAACTCCCAGTTTGATGGACTCCCAAGAGGCCTGCGCTATCAAGCCGGAGAAGCCGGTCGCCTGTGACAGGGCCCAAAGCCCGGTTTAGGGTTTAGGGTTTAGGGTTTAGGGTTTAGGGTTTAGGGTTTAGGGTTTAGGGTTTAGGGACCCTAAACCCTAGCTTGTTAGCACGATTGAGGGTTAAGGGTTTCAAGTGTTCGGTTTTCAGGTTTACGCTTTAGTATTACGGTTTACAGCTAAAGGTTTAGGGATTAAGGGATTAAGGGCTTACGGCTAAAGAGCCTATTCAGGGTTTGGGTTAAACTTTTAGGGTCCAGGGTGACGGTTTGTGTTGACCGTTGGCTTGTTCAAGGAGTGCTTGTCCACGTCTGTTGCCAGTCGGGATTCGCTCAGGCGTGTATGGACATCTGGACTGATGCAAGAAAAGGCATCGTAGGACAAAAGGTTGAGTTGATGAACCTATGGTCGAACAGAAAGATTCACAAAACGCAGGCAACACCGGCACCCATTGGGTGTAGTTAAAGGCTTATTATGATGATGCCGTCCTAGTTTTCTACCACAACCGGTAGCTAAGTTTCACCTAGACTGACACCGGAGAGGCCCGAGACGCACGTCCCGAATTTTTCAGCCTGGTACATCCACAAGTGGTTCTCATGCGGCACGCCCCGTCTAAGGCCTACAAATCATGCTTCATGCATTCCCGCTCACCCTAGCCTCCAAAACAAGGGTGACAGTCATAGTGTACGTCCCGGAAAACAAAAGTCTCGATCGATATGAGGGTTGTGGATTTTTGAACTTCACTGCACGTTCAATTCCGATCCTCCGCGTCTGTACACCGCAAAGCCTACTGCTTAGAAGTGATTTGGGCGCCAACAACCAAGGCCATAGAAACCCAATAAAGCTCTATAATCCCAGAACAACCCCCCGCCCCTCCTATATTCAAAGCCCCTTTAACGCACTCTTTGTTGATTAACACGGCTCCTACATCAGATCCCGCCGTCGCCAAGGTCAAGAGAAGCTCGATTGCTGCTGGCTTCAACTCCGAACTCAGCGACAGGCTGGGTGGGGTTTAGGGTTTAGGGTTGTGTGGTTTAGGGTTAAAGCGTTTGGGTTTAGGGTTTAGGGTTCCGGTACAACGTGAAGACCCCTCTATTAGAAGAAACCAGAACCCACAAAAGCAGACCTAAACAGACTAACGAAGAGCCTTACAGTTCTGAGGTCTAGGGCTCCAGGTTAAGATGTGGAGATATAGAAGATTAAGGCTTCGGGTTTAGGGTTTAGGGTTTTGGGTTTTGGATCTGGGGGTTCGCTTGTAGAGTATATCGCATTTCTGGGTGAGTTCACGACGTCTCGCATGTGCTAGATCGTGTCTTGGTCAAGCTCTTCATTCAGCAGGACCGCAGAGGTGTTTCATAAGATATTTTCTACGGCTGCCATGATCCCATGACACCTCCTAAACCTAAACCCTAAAGCCTAAACCCCTAAACGCTAAACCCCTGAACCCTAAACCCCTAAACCCCTAAACCCTAAACCCTAAAACCCTAAACCCTAAACCCTAAAACCCTAAACCCAAAACCTTCCTCTGATTCTCAGAAAACTTTGATGATGTTTTGCGGTTTTTGCGAGTCCCTACACCCTCCAAGCCTGGGACTCTAATGTAGGGGCCTTAATAATGGGTTTAGGTTTAGGGTTTAGGGTTTAGGGATTAAGGGTTAGGGTTTAGGGTTTAGGGTTTAGGGATGAATAATTACGACAGGGTTTTGGGCTCCTTTAGGGTATATTTATACTAAGGAGCCCTAACTTCAGGCCCAAAAACATAGAACCCTTGGATCCCAAACCGCAAACCTGATCATGAAAAGCGCTTTGGGCTCCTGTAGAGTATATTTATACTAAGTAGCCCTAACAAACCTGATCATGAAAACCTTCCCAGTCTACCTTGGGTTTAGGGGTTTAGAGCTTAGGGCTTAGGGGTTTAGAGCTTACGACTTCCGGATTTAGGGTTTAGGGTTTCGGGTTTAGGGTTTAGGGTTTACGGTTTAGGGTTTAGGGGTTCGGGTTTAGGGTTTAGGGGTTTAGGGTTTAGGGGTTTGGGGTTAGGGTTTACGGTTTACGGTATACGGT